ATCGAATTACAAATTGGCTAAGTCAAGTATTAGACGCCAAGATATTTGGAATGTGCATTATAATAAATAACCTGGCACAACACGTACTTTGGCAGGACTAAAATTAAATTAACTCTAGTTGTGCAATAGAACTATCACTAATTTTAGAATAGATATATGTAGTTAAAATTCGTTGGGAATTATATAAGAAGACTGTCGTATAGTTGTTATAGGAGTTAGGTTACCATGCACCAGTCGAGACGAAGGGAATGAACTAATTGAAAATTAGCATCTAGTTCTAAGGAGCCCAACAAACTGATTTGATTTGGAAATTGTTTTAGTATTTTATTATTAATTCAATATTTAAATAATTTTGTTTGAAGTTCAGATAAGTGTTTTTATATTTTTTTTATCTATATTTTATGAATGTCCCTTTTCATTGTTCATTAAAAAAACAAACAAATGACAGTTCCCACGTTGACTTTTTGTGAAAAAACTTAATTAAATCTACCAGCCTCAGGTAGCGGTCAATTTTTTTTTAGATTTTGTAATGATATGGTTTTTGTGAATGACGTTAATTCATTGAAGCCAGTTCATTGAATCTTGCTCGTTCTTCATCGCTTATCAGCCAATATACGTCCTGAATTTTGAATCGTCTGAGCGATTTAAAAAGTACTATAAACAAGTTTATGTAATCAAACATATTTTGACTTTGACTTTTTAAGCATTTTTCATTTAATATATTTACCCGTATAGCATTGTAAATGCAAAATTTGTCAAATATTTATATCTATCACGAAAACATTCTGTGTCATATCTACAACATTAAATCTGTATATAAATATGACATAGCGAAAAGCGTAAATAAATTTTTAAAAGGTCAAAGTCAAGTTAACAGTTCCTTCAGAGTAACAGTTGTATAACTACGTTAGTGTTATTCCGTATTTTACATTGTTAAATTACAGTTGGCATTTTACACTGTGAAGGTGTGAAGTGTCATAGTGTTACAACACGAGCGAATAAAACTCAAAGTAACGCCGCCTTAATGTCTGTTTAACGGTAATCTTTTAAGGTGTTACGTCACGACGGGCTAACCGGCTATTGAACCACGATAAAGGTAATCAACGACCACTTTAGCCATCTCTGGGATCTCGGGTTCGATTCCTAGTCGATTCAATATAGAAAATGAACTTTTCCAAATTATTAATAATTATTTGGTGTATAGGTGCTGTGGTTCCTTCGTTGTTTCAGATATGTACACCAAGCGGGAGTCGTCGTGCAGTTCACAACACAACCTCGAACTGATAATCCGAGGATAGCTTAGAGATTTTCAGATTTCAAGACAACCACCCAGGTCAGAGTGAATAAAGAAAAGATCTTAACTCGATTGCTAATAGGATCTGGAGCCTCAGATATAGCGACTACTATACCCCACCCTGCCTCATTTGTCCAATTATCTACTACTAAAACCTTGAAAATTTAACCTTTTTGTATATTTTAATGATTTTAAATAATTAAAATATACTCAACATGGGTTCAATTGTTATGAATTTTAAAGGTAACCGTTAGTAATTTTAATCAAGGTCAGTACAAAAATACTTTAACTCAAAATAGATCATCAGCCATATAAAATTACGGTGAACGTATCATATGTGGAATACCTACATACCCCTACTAAAATTAGAGCTAATACGTGTCGTTTTTATTGTAATAACTGTTATAGGTATTAGTATCAGAAAATAACTCTTGACACACAAAGCCAGTATTATTTTGTATAAAATTTTACACAATTTTTACTTGTACATAATGTATGTGTATTTTTAACTCTTTTACCCATTCAATTGTAATATTTTGTACCGTGCTAAGTAGTAATAAGCTTGATCTGAAATTGCTAATTCACTCTCATCGTTACAAACGTAATAATTATATTATAACTCTCGGTAATCACTTTTATAAAAAGAAAAACTATATGGAATCAGTTGATGAGACCATATAACGCCATCTATTACTATAATGAAACACTTTGATAAAGAGTAAAGGCATATCATAATCTGCTATAAAACCACTTGCATAAGCCGGCGTTGTAACGTTTGTGTACTAGATGGCGCTGATGGATTAATTGATAAATTTGATATTTAATAATGTCCCCAACATTTATTATTTATGTACCTAGTCGTTATATAGTTTGATATAACAGACCAATATTTTTGAGATAGATAATGATAAGACATTATAAGCTTGAATTTCTTTACCTATGAACCTTTAATTTGTTCATAGATGACGCTACATGTTTAGGTTAAGCTTAATAAATTAAAAATATTAAATAGACATGACACTATTATAATATCTGAAATAAATAATTATGTAAAATTAAATATCTACATATAATAGGACTGAAACTTTTGAATTTTCGTAAGTAGGTACATTTTTTATAAAAATGTCGTAGGAAAATGCTTTAGCACTATCCCAGGGGGAGTGTGGGACTCCTCATCCATAAAAACCTGAGCCCGAAAGCTAGTCAAAACGCGGATGGCATAAGAATTTAACCCCCTCTTGCACCCTCACTTTTGGGGAAAAGACCGAGATACAGCAGGGAGTACTCCACACCCAAACCACGAGGTGGATAGGTTAGATTATTCTTTTGATTGATTCACAGAAGAAATAAATGTTAATAAAACGATAAGTAGTATTTTAATGCCAGTTGTGCATATATCTATTGATACTTGTTTGTCTTCATTTGTTATAGCGTATTCCAACATGTTATACACTTAGATTTTTATTCATAGCATTTGAACTACTAGAGACGGCTTAATATTTTCTTTTCCATTCTGGTGATGGTGGTGAATTAAGCATACATCTTCTCAATTTACTATACATATAAACAGCAGTGACTACATATCAATAATAATGTGATATAATGTAATTTTTTTTTATAACCTATGTTTTGAATAGATATAATTAAATTAAAACCTCATGGTTTTCTACAAAGGAAAGTACAATTGACAGAACATGTGGTGAAAATTAATTACACCGTCTCAGATTTCCATCACAGTATCGTTAAAAGTAAGAGTTTTCGGTATGCACTGTGTATTCTAAGTAAACACCTTTTAATAATTTACATAATGAATTATTTATTTTGCTACGTTTGTGTTCGACAGTGTATGCCATTTACAGCTTGTGTAGTTATGTTACATCGCTTATTCATTAGAACTTACATTATAATTTACATTAGATTTTATATGCTTGTTTTTAAATTTATAATTTCCTTAGTAGACGTAATAACGATAATACTGTAGTGTAAATATTTAGTCTTAAATAGGATAGTTTGCAATAAAATAACAAAAATAATAATTAAGTATGAACTAATACCAAATTTAGAAATAAATATTTTGAACCTGAAAATATTAAATAACTGGAGTTAAAGGTACTTTAGATTTAAGGAGAACCTATAACAATATATTTATATATATATATATATATATATATATATATATATATATATATATATATATATATATATATATTATATATAATCTAGTATATAATATCTAATATATAGTATATAATTGTATTAATGTATTGTATTGACAATATGTTATATATAATGGATGTGAAGTTATATAACAGACAGTAAACATTGAGAAGTTTGGAAACAAAAGAATCACCATAATATAGAGATCGGGTTCTACCCATCGTTATTAGGACCTAAACAAAATAAAGTACTTTCTCATTTATTTAAGTGTATAAGTCTGTCAGAGAGAGGCATCACCTACAATTTATTTATTTATTTATTTATTTATTCTTTATTGCCTAACTAAGGACAAATGGCGGACTTAATGCCATAGAGGCATTCTCTCCCAGTCAACCAGTTAGATTGTACAGAACAGTAGTAGGCGGTAAAGATTAAAAACGGTACATAAAATCGTATCTATAAGCATTGGCATATATACATACAATACATATACGCATATATACATAATATTAATATACATACATTATATATACATATACATTATAAGATATAACGAGTACTGAAATGGTGGTGTCTGATTATGAAATGGAAGTAGACAGGAAATAGTGGTTACGAGCTGCAGACTTAAATGCGAGTTTGTTTGGGGCATTACGAACTTCAAATGGCAATGCATTCCATAGTCGGATGGCAGTCAGAGTGAAAGAGCTGGATACGTAGCTGGAATGGTGAGTAGGTGTTTGAAGGATCAGACTACCACTGGAGCGAAGGTTTTTCTGGTGGGAGGCCCCGAGGAAGTGAAACCTAGATTTCAAATACTCAGGAGTATGTGGATCGAAAAGAATGTTGAAGAGGGTACATACGATCCTTAGGTTTCTGCGTTCACGAATGGGCAGCCACTTAAGTTGTAGACGGAAGTGAGAAATGTGGTCATATTTACGTAACCCGAAAACGAAGCGAATGGTGTTGTTGAGAAGACGATCCAGTCTGTTGAGGAAAATCTGATTGATACCTGAAGTACAAATATCAGCATAATCAAAAAGGGGATGTACAAGGGATTGAATTAACTCAGATTTAATGCAGGAAGGAAGAAAATTCTTCAGCCGATATAGAAAACCAAGACTGCGGTGTATTTTGCGACAGATATTTTCCATCTGCCCATCCCAGTGCAAAGAACTATCAAGGACAAGCCCAAGGTTTTTCACAGTATTAGTATATGGTATTACCGTGCCACCATAAACAACAGCAGGAATTGAAAATCTGTTGAGCTTCGCAATTTGACGTGGGTTCCCGATGATAATCCCGATGACAATTCAAAGTCGGAAGAAGATAATTAAAAAGAAATTACATTTAAATCAATCAAAAATTATATAACCAGCATTAGGTATTAGACTAAATACGAAAGAAATAGCTAGTTTATGCTTTTCCAACTTTATCACAACACGGCTATATGTATATGTAACAACCGCCTGTTTAGGTATACCACCTTTTTTACTTTATGTAAAATACAGAAAATACAATGCGACAACACTCTTAAAAAGGGCAAACATACCTGGGTTCGCTGGCGTCCTGCGTCGTCTAGCCGAAGCTCTCCTAACGACGGTCGACACCAAGGAGTCCATTTCACTGCCCGAGTCCCATCGCGGTCGTACAGGTGTAGGACGCAACGCCCTTCCATCGTCCTCCGTATCCCGATCACTACTAGTAGGCGGTAGATTCGAATCATCACTTTCCGGCGGCACAACATCCACTTTCACGTCCCTATTGAACACACCTATCATCGTCACATCCCTAATATCGTCTGTACAAGTGAACGGGTGGGTTAGAGTTCTACGTATATTACTTTTCCTATGTTTCACTTTCACCGATCCCTCCGACAGAGACCTCTTGCTCAGTTTGCCATCCGTTTTTGTGTCCCCGCGCTGGCATTTCAAGTCAGACGGCGATAATGATTTCTTTCTCGAGTTACGCCTTTTGTTACAACGCTTCTGTCTACTCGACTCGCGTGCTGTTTGCATCGTGGCTGCATTGGTGGGATCTGAAACACAGAACAAAATAATGTGACAACAGAACGTATAGGAGGAAGGACAAATAACGAGAAAAATAGGATGTTGGGATAAATCAAATCATAACATTCAATTACAGTGTCTAAAGATAATGGCTTGCTCACGACTTCCATTACGAAACACATTTAAAATAAAACTGGTTCAAATGGCCAACATTAAGATTAACATATACTAAATATCACTTCTTAAAAAGATAATCAGATAAGCAATACCAGATAAGTTTCGTTGATCTCACGGTTCTATATTAGGATGCCACCGACACACTAAGAGTGAGATAAAATCGGCTTTATTTATTGTGTAATGATTTGGTTATGTATACGTACTCCAAATATTTCATTCATATTGGAAGTACGTATTCTATAAGTAGGCGCTTCTCAATTACTATACAAAATAAAATTTATCCAATTTCAATCGAGTAACTTAAAAATTTATACTGCTAAAATCGTCAGTCAGCGATAACAAATTTAACATTAACGCTAGATACGCTATTCGAGATTCCATAATGTTTAACAATTTCGTATTATAACATCTACGTTATGACGTAAACTTGTAATACCTCTGTGATGTAATTATGATCGTATGACTTGCGCGCCGGTTTTAATGGTATCGTCTTCTCTTACGTTATTGATTCAACTCCAGGGACATCTATTTCATAAACAAAGCTTTCCATAGTGGCTTCAATGTACATCGTGTTACGAGAACTGCCTTTTCTATTTACCATAACAGAGGTACTTTATTTATAACATCCTACGTAGACAAAAGAACTTAAGAAATTCGACAGCTTTGCTAAGGTCTTAGATAGGTGGAACAGACGTCTGAATACCGTCACGGGCTCCTATAACAGTTGCTTTTTAGGGTTTCGTACCCAAAGGGTAAAAAAATTACTAAGACACCCTACTACGAGGACTACGCTCTCCGTTCGTCTGTCTGTCAGTCTATCACCAGTCTGTGTCTATGTCATAAACCGTGATAGTTAGACAGCTGAAGTTTCTGTTGCCGCTATAACAAAAGTACTAAAGAGTAAAGGAGCTCCCTACAACAAACGTGATATTTTTTAATTTTTCTTAGATAATGGTAGGAAACCTTTCGTACGTGAGTCGGACTTGTACTTGACCAATTTAGTAGTTTTGACCAAAACCAACTATGGTATCTTCTTGATGTCATGGTCGTTATGACTAAGGTATTATATCCAGGTAAATATTTAATTATCCAAAAAAATTCAAACTTATTTCAAATTCCTTAGGGTATTTTGTTTGGCCAATTACATTTGCACACAATAGAACCAATCTGCACTTACCTATACTTGACCTTACTAATGTTTGAAGAATCATTTTATAAAACTAAACGTGATACATATTGACTGTTTAAGGCAGTGATTAATAAATATAACGTACAACTCTATTGAGGTATGTTTCCAATTTGTTTTATGTTACAAGCCATAATGTATTGTGTCTTCAATAGTTGCTAGCTGTTTACCGCAACTTCGCCCGCTTGAATAGCTACAGGGCCAAATCTAGAGGTGCTCTTGCCCCGGGCGCCAGTGATGGAGGTGACATTATAATGATAAAAACTAGCTTCATAAAATCTCTTTTATAAAGATGTGCACGGGGAAGGGGGAGGAGTGGGAGTAAGGGCGCAATATTAAGTTTCTGCCCCGGTCGGAAAGTGTATATCGGGCCTGATAGCTCATGTCTTCAGATGTGTGATTATGATGCACGCAAGCTTATTAATGCACTCCATACAAGCGGGAATGGAACCTATTACGGGATGTCTGAAAATCATCCTGACATCTCAGTATTGTCGGAATGGAATCACTAGGGTTTATCTCACTTCAGGTTGATTTACAACCTGTGCTGCAGCATGGATAATAAAAATAAACATTTGAAAGCACTTATGCAATTCTTTCTAACGTTATTCAAAACTACAACAGTAGTAAAAGCAAAATATTCATTTGGCGTTTATAAAAACGATATTGTCGGCAATCATATAACAAAGGAATCTGATAAGTACCTAATAGGAGAGAGAGAAGTAAAAGTGGTCATGTTAGGCAGAAACGTAACTTGCAATTGTCTAAAGTAACAAATCGGTGAAAGCAATTCGATTTTGTTAAATTATTATTACTAAAAATAGGTATAAAATATTTGTCTTCGCAGCAGTTTTTTAAAATATGTAGATTCTATATTGATAACTGGAATATTTGTTTTCACGAATTATAACACTAAATAAAGGTGGTATAACAAATGAGACCTTTATTTAGTTTTTTTTATGATCATTATTAAAAAGGTTTTAGTTAATAAAGATAAAAACAAACTACACTTGAAAATGCATTTAACATAAATTTTACAGGGCATGGATTTTGTATCAAGAAAGCCAAATATAAAACAAATTACCGCGTAGTCTTTCTATCAATGAGTCATAAAATATATTCCTCCATTAATAATAGGGACATGTCTATATAAAGAAATAAAGCTGTAACTTCTGTACTAACTACTTAACTTCTTAACTAACTGTAAAGCTTTAGAAATACTGATCCGATCATGAAAATTTCCAAATACAGTCGAACTTATCATAAAAAGGAACTAACATTTACAAATTTGGGGGACACGAGAAATTATCTAACATTTACACATAAATCTTTAATGTATACTGCCTGCTAGTGTGGAAGTCGTAAGGACCTTTTTCGCTGTCATTTTGTCTCTACCTAAACAGGCATGGCAGACGACATTTTGGATATTTTTTAAGATGTTTTCTTCGCAATCATTTTCAAGTGTAGACTGACTAGAGTGAGCAAAATACATTAAATAATCTTAAGTGCTTTTCGTTTTTTTTCTAAAGTCGTGCAAGTGAATAGATCTTATGCTAATTATAAACCAGTATTAGTCAAAATTGTATTATTAAATAGTCGTAGCAAAGATTAACCTAGTACGAGGTTCTGCGGGAGTAATACATTTTACTCATAGAAGAATACTAAAATTGCAATTGTAGAGTAAATTTACTCTGACGCTAAACGTTGTTTATTAATATCACTATTATATGTAGCAGGGACCAAAGGCCATTTATAAATTTTTGACCACTCGTCCTATGACTGCCAAAGTTCCTAAAGCTTTACTTACTAAAATAGCCCTTAAAATTACCTGCCTCCAAGTATTGAAATAACAATAAACGCTAATAATAGAAATTGTAAAAGACCTTGTAAATGTAACCTTTTTTTGTAAAAGGAGGAGGTTCCCAATTCGACTGTTTTTTTTTCTGGTTGGTTACTTCATAACTTTTTACTGTAATTATGACAAAGAGGTTAGATAAGAACAAATTCTGGAAAATTTAACATCTAAGGAGGTTACAATGGGACTTAAAAATCATGTGATCCAAGCGGGCGAAGTCACGAGCGGAAACTTTATAAATATTAATATTTAATACTTAGCGACAAAGATATATGTATATGCAAAAACCGTTAAACATCAATTACTTATACAACAGTCAGTTAATAATAATTTTGCATTTAAAATACAATAACATGAAAAGTATTTTTGTATTAGTGATTATTAAAATAGTTATTTCACTAAAGGTAATTTGTTAATGTTGACAGATAGAGTAGGAATATAATTTCCAGTAAAAAAAATATAGATCATATTACCTTATATTCTAACCACAACCGCAAGCCTAAAAGAAACTTCTATATTCTACACAGCCACTCAACAATACAAACACAAGTCACACGCAAATTAAAAAATAACCGCATAGATAACGAACTGATCTTTCCGCGATAATGTTATCTTTGCAAAAAATTACGTAGCACAGATAAGAAATAGAATTCGACAATTTATTTTTGAAAGGAGTTTTGTCACTGGCTATATTGAATACGAGACTGTAATGTTTTAAAAATTAAAAAGTTTAAAGGTCGTCGTCACGGTCGTCGCTTTGCACTTTGCACATTTCCTTGCGAGTTGTTCACTGTGAAGGCGTCTGCTCTCTACGGTTCGTTAAACTGAACTGTCTGCTGTACTCCTTCCTACTAGTTTACATTACAGATTCGTTTCAATTAGAGATGATTTATCAGAAGTCGTTTACAATAGAACCAATATTGCCCTGATGACATTTTTGTAGAAACACTGTAGAAACGTGAAGGTTGTATTGTTAAGTAATAAATATTTACAATATTTTTGTTTATAGGTTTTGTAAAGAATATGACATGAAATTTAACTCCATTAGCATTAATTGTACCATTCCCTCTCTAAAACAACTTGGGAAAATAAGTCATATTTCTAACAAAAAAAAGAATTATCCAAATCGATTCACCTGTTTGAGAGATATGATGCCACAGACAGAATGACACCTACACACACACATAAAAGTTATTATAACACCCTTTATTTGCGTCGGGAGTTAAAAAATGATAACCCTGACGAACACTGGGTGATATTGTTATTCTTATTTACAGTCGTAATATTTTTTTCTGTCCTTATTTAATTAAATGTAATTTTAAGATTAACAATTTTCTAACTTTGACATAACAATGATTATTGTAAAAACTATTAGTGGAAACTTTACTGATTAATATGCTATTTTAAAATGTTTTATTTGTATTTGTTATTAATATTGTTTGTTTCCCACATATATAAAATTAAAAAAAAAAAACCATATGTACCGAGACGTACGAATTGTAAATGCTATCTTCCACGTAACAAAATGTATTCGCATGAAATTATTCAACAAGTTTTCCTGAGGATAGACTTTTAGGAACGGCTGATAGTTAAACAAAGGTTGATAAGACCTTTTTTTCTGTTCTGTGGATAAGACAGTTTATGTCGTTGACGTTATAGTACTTTGACAGGAAACTGATAATATGATTTTTTAACTTTGGTAAATGTAGAGTGACTATTGTTTGCTATGAACCGAAATGTTTATTTAAGTTTAAATACAAGGAAGAATCAACATCTTCTCTTCTTGGAAGTATGTTTGTATTGTCAGTACATGTCTGGGCACGCATATTTTAAGGTTCCACAGTTAAAATATATTAATTATGAACAACTTCATCTAAATAATATTCGATGTTATATGTTTTTATTACTATTCAAATTACTTTTTATGTATATTCAAAAACGAACACTCACCAGGTTGTGAGTAACCAAATATTATATAGCACATTCAAGCACCTATAATATATTAAATGTAATAAAAATTGTACAAAATACATATTGTAGGTATCGAGCAAACAATCGTTAATCGAAAAATGATCTTCAGACACCTTCATAAATAAATAAATTCATCCCCACTTCCGAATTAATATTTGAGGAGGTACTTAAAAGCATTTATTAATTCTTACTATGTTTTATTACACTATAAACAGTTCCATAGAAGGACTGATTGCGTTCTGCGGGCTAGTGAATTATAAATAAATTCTACACGTGCTTCAATATTTTATGCCACCCATGTCAATTAACAGATCTCTAATACCTATCAGTGAACTAAGCCGAGAAAATATAGTCAAAACGGATACCAAGAACAGTGGTCCCAAAACCAAATATATTTGTTGACCTAAATATTCAGTCGGACATGTCATCATCATCAGCCTATCAACTGGGGTATACTTTTCTTTAACGGCTTTAACGACCGCAGATGCAGCCGAGACCAACGGCTTAATGTGCTTTCCAAGCACGGAGGAGCTCGAGATAATAAATTTTTGGTCACTTATCCTATTACCGGCCCTTGCAAAAATGGCTAAGCCCACTTAGACGGCATTGCAGTTCAAACACGTGTACTACTGCGTAATCGAGCTCTACGAGGCCAAGTGTAGTTATTCGTTATAATCATCATAAAAAAATTAAGTACGTTAATAATATTATTGTGAATCATACACAATCACATTTTATATTGTGTATGATGCACAATTTAATCGTAACTCAAACAAATATGAGGTTATAGTCAATCTGAACATAATAGGGCACTGTATGTAGAATAATAAATGAATCGAGATAAATATGACGCCATTATATTGTGTGTGAATGCACTAATAATTTCATTACCTACACTTTACCACGTTCCATGTTCGTCGAGCTACTGAAACGTATATGGCTAGAGAATGTTACCAGTTTCAATAAAAAAGTTGCTAGACTTTACAATTTTGTAATAATGTACATTTAGCTCTTGTGTGGTCGGTCAATAATAGGAAAAACCTTACACATAGGAAAAAATCCAGTCAGACCGCCGCCGCCGCTAGAACTAGTTTTTGAAAGGACTGAGTTGCTTTTATAATTCCTGTTGTGATCCGATAACTTGGACAACCCTGGCTTTATCAATAAACCTATTAGGTATGTATAGTAATGAAACCATTAATTAGGCATTTAATTTTACTTACAACTGTGTACATATAGTTATTGTATCGATGTAGGCAAAATATAGTATAATAGCATTCTTTAGCTCATATTCGTGGCTTCCGGGGTTGAGCTCGCCGGTTTCACGGTTTATCATTTCTGAGATCCCGAGTTCGATTTCCGGTCGAAAACGTTCAATGAAAATTGGTTTGACCGACGATTAGTCAGTACTTTTTGAGATAAAGCAGATCGTTCGTTTTTAAACCGTATCCCTAAAAGCCGGTGGAATAAATGTGATCATGATTAATTATGATTATATATTGCCCGTTTCATAGGCGAATAAACCTTTGTGAAGGTCTTATACAAGTCATTTGTCTGTTGTGCGCCCTAACGGCGGAAAAAGGTATGAGGAATGAGCTATGTTATGTAAATTCTCAGCATAATTAAAAGCCCTTGTTCTCCAGATCACAGTTATGTCTATAATAACACGTTAGAAGTAAATATGACAAGTTCACGTTCCCATAGCAAGGTTTCTCAGACAAAACAATGGATAGCTTCGACGTATGTGGTGCGAGCAAAATAGAAGTTGATACTAATGCATCTTTTAATAAATCGGATTAAGTCTTTTACTTAGACTTGTGCTAACATACGATTAACATTTATCACGATGGATGTTTATAAATCAGATACACTACAGATGTAGAAGTATTCTCGTAAAATTTGTAAAAACTAAAGTTACATGTTATCTAAAACAGTTTCTACTAAATCGAATATTTTATGTATCACCATAAAACGCTTAAACGGTGAATATAAACATTGTGAAACATAGTTTCTACTATATACCGAGACATTGTTCATAAACATAAAATTTTATTAAAGTTAAGTTCATAAATTGCTATTTTAACGATTTTAAAGTTCATTGAAAGAAGAATTGATTATATTTGTATTCTATTTAGATCTATTACAAATAGACCGATTACGTAATCTATATAATACCAATTTAAGTAGATAGGTGCTTCAATATTTAAATTATCTATGGTCGGGAGATGTGTCGGACGTGTGTTCGGACGAATCGTCTGCTTTCTACATTGGGCTTTTGTTAGCACGCTTTCAAGGGGGATCCAGCCGCTGCAGGATCTATTGTTTTTTTTTTTTACTTTCCTAACTTGAGTAATTGAGTTTTTCACCCGCGACTTCTTTTGTCCTAATTCCTAAGCAACTGAGTCGCTTAAACTTATATTTCCATTGTTAGTTTTTTGTTCACTATAGACCATTATTTAAAAAGGCATTTTAAATTTCCTAAGGTAAGATATTCCACATACGGTTACTTTCTTCTGTTATATGTAACGCATTTGAAACCGTGCACAGAAGTTAATAATAAAGCTACTTACAGTTTTACTCTTTTATTTTCTTTACAGAAAATAGTTTCTATAGTGCACGACTTTACCTGGCGCCGTATCTTGCTGAAAGGAGCGTTCTTGGTTATTGAACATAGTGTTGTTAAAGGGCTTAACTACCTTCTCAAAAATAGTGTCTTGATACACTTGTGTCGATTTTTGATGAATTTTCACAAAAAGCATGGATCGGTCATTCTTTCATACCTAACACCCTACTAAACCATCACTGAAATCGTATAATGCCCATGTTGTACTCTGTTAACTAATCGTGAAGCTTTTTTAGAGCATAAATACGGTCATTTTGTTTGTTAAAACATTGCTCAGTTGTAAAAATTTACTCATCCGTAAACAAAATTTTACTGTGACCTCCCTTTGCGTATCGCTTAAGTAGTTGTCTTGATTTCACCACCCCATTCTTTTTAAATTATCTGTTTAAGAAGTAACCTGTGCATATCTTATACGCTAGATGTCGTATGTCATCTTTTAAAATATGTAGCGCATGCAAAACTGTGCACAGAAGTTATTAAATAATAAAGTTACCGTTTTGCACTTTTATTTTCTTTACAGAAAATAGTTTCTATTGTTGCATCGTTAATTTAACGACTTTACACTGACATTGAGACTGTAATGAAGTGTGAAGTTCGTGACTAAGTTAATAAAATGCACCGCGGTGGATTGTTCTTGTAATTTAATCTTATAGTTTTTGCTTTACCAGTTGTTAGGAACGGTTACGGATGATGGGAATATTATTTTGCAGCGGAAGTTATCGACATTATATTTGCGTAAAGAATTTTTTGCCAGACTTGAAAATGTTTTAAACCTCCTGCATTATTAAATGTGAAAACTAATAGATAACATGTTATTTCTATATCGATACCTTATGTTACGCTTATGTTGTGTTCACAATTCAAAATGTTGTTTTCCCTACGAATTATCTGTGCATAGAGAAAACAAAATTGTCATTTATATTATTATGTAGGTAACACAAAAAAGGGTAAAATGTAATAATTAAAATAATAATTGTAGGTTACTGTAGATAAAACCTTTTTCTATATTAATCAGACACTGGCATTTTTTCGTATACCATTTTTGAATTAGTATTTTATACACTGTTTATTGTTTTTTATGTCACTCTCTTCTTTACTCTCGTCTGACTTTTATGTATTTACAACGTGAAATATATAGTTCAATATATTCAAATTGAAGAAATCATCTAAAACTTTTTGTTTCTTATATTGTTATGTTTTTTTCATATAAAAACACGTTACCTTGAAGGTAGTTGTGATATTTTGCAATTAAAGCTTTAATAGTTATTGATGTTACTATCGAGTCAAAATTTGGGAGCGCGCGTTCGTCGTCAGCTTTCAGAAGACCTTCTAATATATTGTGCTTAGGATGAAAAACGCTGTTGTAAAGCAATAAATTCTATAGAAGGATTTATCCGCCGCACTCTTAGCCCGCTACGATTACTAAAACTATAAACATATCACAACAAATTTCCAAAAAAAAAAATGGATGATCAACATAACGAATATTACTTACTTGTAAGATATGAAAGTTGTTTGTCTATTTAAACCCTTTAAACGAACAAACCTTGTATATATATTGTATTTAATGGAATCTCGGAAATGGTATTAGTACCGTGTATACATACATAAGCATTAATTATAAAGAGGGTTATTTTAATATTACAAACAGACGCTCAATTTTATTTATTTGTATAAGATAGATTCTAAAATGAAGTAAATTAAAAAGTAGCCTAAGTTACTCCTTTTATAGATTAGCCGGAACAAACAGACATAAAAACAAAATAAGTTAACAGAAAGAACATACGTAACAGTTATGCCCACATGAGTATTGTTAGATTATTTGTCGCCTTGATCAAACCGCCACCACTCTAAACACAAGAGACAAGGCTACAGCTTCATTAAAATGAATGGATACGCGGAATGTTCGTTATCCTGCGGAGGCGGACTAATTACTTCACGACTAAAGAGTTTCTTGTATTTTTAATGACTTCAAGAAAAAGGAGGTTATCAATTCGATACGTATAAAGGTTTATCATGATAATGGATTGTATAATATTAGTAAGACTCCTGAAGAACTACTTTTCTCCGAAAACGGAATAGCATCTATTTTTAAAATGCTAATAGGATTATTAAAACGGTATGCAACGGTGGTAGGACCTGACACTGCCTTGATGCATAGATAATTACAGTTCTGATTTTGACAACATTATAAGAACGATTCTAAATTCTCCGATTTACGTTCGAGGAAAAGACTAGACCTTTTAGAATGTACTGTGTGTTTCTGAAATTAAAATCTCGAAATTAGCAATGGAGTTCCTTTACTTTGAAATGCATATTATCATACAAAATTGTAACCTACACTTGCAACATAGGTCAAACATTAATGTAACCGATACGTAAATGAACATTGCAAGTAGTAAAAGTTGTCGTGAAGTAAGAAATATTATATGTTATTATTAAAGGAATGAGGTCCGTTTTTTATTAACACAATCACTGAGAGATTATTAAAAAGTTTGCTATTTTTCATTTTTTTATAACAAAAGGTTGAAAAAACTATTAGACTATTTAATTTTGATGATAAACGAACACCACATTTATAATCTACGCTGCTTTTTTTACACCGCATCCCACCCAGTTGCAGGACGACCTACGCTATTAT